TCGACCATTGTCCAAATTGCATCCACCGTTGATCTCCCTTTTTCGGAATCCAAACTGCCTCTCCGACAATCCAAAACAAAAGCTGATAGGGCTGATTAGGTTGAAGCATTGTCCCTTTCAATTGACGATGTTATTAAACTCCGTTGAATTCGAGAATTTGCGTTGACGAAATCTCTTGAAAATTCAAAGTCAGTCAAAACTTTTATGTACAATCCCATCAAATATGTAATGCTTTTTTTTATAGACTGACTGACAATGAAGCAATGTTTTTATTACAATTGCTAAAAAAAGAAACAGGTTTTCTGTGATAAAAACGATTTTTCCAGCCAACAGCAATTCAAAACTAATAATTCCCAGTAGGAGTATATTATATTAATGTAGCTGCAGCTATTTTTCAGTCGATCACACAATTGACAGTTGTTTACTTCTATTGGTGTGCTGTGTTAATTGATGAAATTGGTTTTTGGGAGCCGGATTTTTTTTTGAGGATTTGAAATAATGACCAAGGGAAATTCTGAAAGAGGCCGCAAAACTTCCAGGGAAGTTGGAAGATAATTCTAGAAGCCAGATGAAATTTCCAACGGAAGTAAGAAGGATTTCATAATTCAGGAAATCTATCAGTAGTTAATCTCAAAAGCCATTCCTGTGAATTACAAGAGGGATTCCTATGTATCCTCCAAACATAGGAATCCCTCTTGTAATTCACAGGAATCAAGCGGGATTCCAGAAAATCTCAATAGGGATTCCATTCCAGTTTACAGAAATTTCTAAGTGAGATTTCGAAGAATTTCAAGAAGAATTCCGGAAAATCTCAAAAATATATTCGGGAGAATTTCAAGAGGATAATCCCAAGAAGAATTCCGGAGAATCCCAATGGAGGTTGTGGAAATCCCAGAACGAATTTTGGAAAAATCTTAAGCGGGAAAATCTCAAGAGGGTTTCCGAAACAAAAATGTAACCATGTAAATAGTAAATTATGGTTTCCAAAAAATATGTGTAGTTCATTAGACGCTTAAACCGGTGCTTGGAAGAAGGCAAATTTGGAATTGCTCCCATTTCCTAGAAATCCATTGATGCAGTTAGAAAATACAGCTAGGGTTTTGGATCTACACCTCGCATTGGAAAATAATTTACCCCTTCCTTCCGTGAGCAAACCACCTGTATTACATGTTGGGGTTTAGACGACGGAAGCCACCATCGAAAGCCGGTCGAACACCAGACGCCATACCCTGGTTAAAAGGCACCAAAGTCAACGTGCCAGCGACAGCTATCGGATGAGACAACGGTAATCGGCCCCATCCATACTAGACGTAGATTTAAGCAAAGCTTGAGATGAATTACTGGCTCCGTAAAGCAAACGCAATTGCGCCTTCCAAATAAATGAATTAAATAATAAAAATCCCAAGAAAGATCGCAGAGCATCCTGAGAGATATTCCAACCGGAATTCCGCATAAGCCCAAGAGGTGAGAGCTATCCGTCTTGGAGAGAGACAACAGAATTCCGACAGGGATTACAAGTGAGATTCAAAAGTATCTCAAGACACATTCTGGCATTAGCAGTAGATTTGTCACTGAAAAATTGTGGTTACTTGTGAGCCACTTATTCCAGTAACAATCAAATTGCAGCAACTTATTTCGAAGGAAGTGTAAGAGGTATTCTTGAGAGTCCCATGAAAGTATTCCGGAGAATACCATGGAAGCTTCCAATAATTCTATTAATATATTAATATATTAAGTGGAATTCCGGTGAATTGTAAGATTAATCACAGAGCAAATCTAGTGTGCAAAAATATCAAAAAGTATTCTGGGTATCCCGATGGAATTTATGGAGAATCCCAAAAATAATCCTGGAGAAGCCTATTAGGGAAAATCCAAAGAGAGATTCCTAACATTTGTCTAGAAAACAGTGTTGACGGGAGAGACACCCCTTACTATCCCTCCTTAACGGGGGAGTTTGGTAAGGGAATGATCTACCCGATTCGTATCTTCCTCAAAATTGTCCATTGCTCGCTTTCTGCTTTCTAAATACAATTTTCACACTGCCGTACTATAACGGAACTTTCAACTCTATACTTTCATCTCATTATCGATCGTAAAAATGGTCCCCTTTAAGTCTGATATTTGACATTAAGCATCTCCAAATCGTTAACTTCACTTGTCTAGAAAGATTCCAAGGAATCTTGAGAGAGGTGCCGGAGATTGTCAAGCGGAATTCTGGACAATCCATAGAAGAGATCCGGGGAACTCTAATAGGGAGAATACAAAAATTCTTATGCGGGATTCTGGAGAAACGCGTAATGAGAATCTAGATCATTTTAGGGACAATCAATATATTAGTTTAGTCACAAATTCTCAACCCCTCCCCCTTCCTCTTTCTTTAAATGCTACGTCATTTTCCATGTTCCCTTAAAAGGAATCCATAGAATCCCAAGAGGGATTCTGAATAATTTCAGAAGGGATTCCCCCGAATTCAAGGACAAATTCTAAAGCTCCGTAGAGTTCTCTGGAATCGCGACACATCAAATCACATGAGCATTCGATAACTAGCTCAATTGGAGTCAAACATTAGTCATATTTGGACATGTTCTGTATGCCTTCGGGGAAGTAGCCAGATTTTGACGTCAGACATATCAAATCACGTAAGAGTTTCATTGCAAACAAATTGGTGATCACATTTAGTGTCCAGGACAACATTAGACTCTCCAGGACATGTTCAAGGTGCCCCCAAGTAAATGAACATAGGGTAGAGAACTACTTCGGCCTAATCACCCATTTTGGGCCTATCGAGCAGAAAACTTCTAATAAATCCATGATTTCATAGTTAACAAGTCAATTATGCGTTTGGTACGATCCATTAGTTAATAAGCTGCCGAACGAAGTCAATAAGAACGCGTGATATAAAGGTTTGCAACCATTATTCCCAAAAACAAAAGAAACGGTCCGACCGAATCAATTTTTATCTTCATCCGATAGGCCGAAGTGAATTCATTGGCGTTTCAATGGCGTTTCAATGCGTTAGGCCGAGTTTAGAATCCGTAGGCCGAGTTTGGCGTCAAGAAGCAGTGTTAGACTTTTGACAATATCTCATCGATTGGTTTCTCTTTATAAAATCTTACGTTACGTACGGAAAGGTAAGTAAATTTGGAAGTCATCAGTAATAATAACATTCCGTTTGATAATAAACTGCGCTAGATTAAGAAAGACTAGGTGCGGGTTGTGCTTAATAGGCCGGAAATGAGGTAGTTAACCCTATTTGGTTTTTAGTCAAATCTCATCATGAGATATATCAAATCTTAAGAATAGTTTGGTTTCACCATAGGTGGATGAATTCAGTTTTTTTCTACCAATTTGGCTGCTGGTTTTGTCCCCTTTCATAGAACCATAGAGCCCCTTGGTGGGAATTTGTATGGGAGCAAGCTGTGAGTTTGTTAAGTGTCAAACAGTGACGTAATTATTTTACTTTAAATCTTTACTTAAAAATTGAGATGAAAGTAAATAGGATCGAGGAAAACATGGTTGCACTCAGAAAACGAAGCCTTTTCAGAAGATGTATAATAACCGAAATTTTTTTTTTTAAATTAAAGAACCCAATAGCCTTTAACCGAAGACATAATATCAAGAAGACTGGCAACTTTGCCAGAATCCAAGCGACAGATACAATAGCGCTGCGCTTCAGTGAAGGTGGAAGCAATGCATAGACAAATGAGCAAATACACAATCCTTTCTTCTGAGGATGTACACGCTGTTTCAAAACTACCCAAATTTGGGTAGATTTCACCCAGATCGGTTAAAACTGAACCTACCCAAAAAATGGGTAAACTATGTTCGGATTGACAAGTTGACAAATGGACAACATTGACATGAATCCGATCGACTTTGCTCATTTTTCAACTTGTCACTCCGAATATAGTTTACCCACTTTTGGATAGGTTCAGTTTTGACCGATCTGGATGGATTTTACCCAAATTTGGGTAGTTTTGAAATAGCGTGTAATATTTGTTATCAAATTTATTCGAAGCATTTACCTTTGAGCGGAAGATGAAGTGATTATACCTGTCTAATAGCGTTCGTATGAGAAAATAGTAGAGTTGCCAGTCTTCTTGATTTGTTGTCTTCGCTTTATCACAGAACAAACATTTGAGAAGTTCAATGCCAACTTACGAATCGATTTTATTTTTCCCTCGATGAATTCCATGAAACGTCGCTTTATTGTTCAATATGGACGATTTAACTACTAAGTGTTGGTGCCGGAATAAGGCCATTTTTACTCACGCCTAATTTTTCAATATGGTGAATTCGACATTTTTCAATAAATCATAGCATGAAACTTATGTTTATTTAAAAGCTTAATAGAAATGCTTACTCTTCAGAAATGTACAAAAATTTTACTTCCAAATTAACCAAAATCTTTGAATCAACTATTAATACAAATTTTGAACTTTTTATCACAAATAATTTGTATTGATTTTTAAACAGAAAACATATTTTTTTTAGTTCAGAAAATCGTTTCCTATGCAAAAATTACATAAATATTGCATAACAGAAATGTACAATTCAGAAAAGACTGCATTTTGACAAGCTTTCAAGTAAACATAAGTTTTATAATCTTAAAAACCGCATTTGTAATTTTAAGAATTTTTTTTGTATTTTATGACGAAAATTTGTGGTTTTTTTTCAGCGTGTATTTTTTTCTGAAAAGGCAATTCAGTCTCTTACAACTTTGTCTCAGACGTCGTTTCGATTATTTTTCTACTATGATTTATTGTAAAAATATCGAATACGCCATTTTGAAAAATCAAAGAAGGGTCAAAGGCCGAACTCCCGAAGAAAATGGGTCTATTATCCCTAAGGAACAATTATGGAAAGTTTCATGGAATTTAGAGAGGTAAAATCTAAAATTCGTTTATTTTTTTGCTTTTGGCCTGGAACTACTCAATGTCCAAGACTGAACAGTTTTAGACCCCAACGTAGAAATTGACCACATTTTAAATGCCACTCACCGACTGGTTTTGCTTCGGCAATCGAGGCTTCCTTTTCGGGTGAATTGACCTGCACGCTATCGTCCCCCTGGGAACCGTCCTCTTCGCCTACGTTTTCCTCCTCTTCCTTCTTCTTCTGGAGTACCTCCTTCTTCTGCTCTTCCTCCTTGTTGCCGCCCTTGAAGCCCGGGAATGACGTAATCTTGTAGGTGGTCTTCTTCTTCTGGGCGTCGGCATTGCTCTGCTGGTCGTAGTCGGCTAAAATAATTAATTATGTCGATTAATTCTGTGATTAAAATTTCACACCGATCGAGCTTTACTGTTGAACAAAAACTTGATCGCATCGTGATCGCCGTCCTGTTGTTGGATGTGCGCTAGCTTCTGTGCTGCCACGCCCAACCGTTCCAGATTATCGGCGTAGACCTTCTTCTGATCCGACGACAGCTTTCCCGTCTTCTTGACCTGGTCCTGCAGTGTCACCAGCGAGGCAGCCGCCTTCTGAATGTTCAACAGGTAGTCCCCGAACGATTGATCCGCGGCCTTGATCTCGTCATCCTCGGCCAGAATCTCCTCGTTGTTCTTCAGCTCGTCGACGATCTGATGCACCTTGAGTTCCATGTCTTCATCGTCTTCGCCTCGGAGGATCTTGCTCACTACGGTCCCATCGGAGTTTTTCCGAATCTCCAGGATCTGCCCCCGTGCACCACCGTAGAATGGAAGCTTCAGCACGTCCGCCGCGGTACGATGCTCTGCGAATCTGCGGAATAGAACCAAAGACGAAGATGGAACGATCGTCGAAGGGTGCCAGAAAAAAAGAGAAAAGAATATCGGCGTCAACACTGGGACCAAGTGGAATCGATGAGTGCAAGTTTGGTTTTTGCAAACATGGAATGCAAGGCTTGAACGGCTTAATTACCTAATTGAAGAAACTGGTAACTGGTGTGGGGACTCCAGGAATGGGTTGTGGATAGTTGTGTGTGTGGAGGAAGGTGACAGGAAGGGTCGACAGAGGTGCATAGTGAGGTGCGAGCGATAGTAAAATAGCACACAGTTGGTTGTAGATTGCAGACCAAGGCGTAGTGCGGATGTACTACGAGACATGCATCCTAATAAGGCTAGCAGCGGGGGACTACGACCGGCGAAGATACTATTTACAGTTAACGAACGAGCGAGCGGTGCGACCTAGAAAATAGAAATGGCGTGCAGGTCACGTCTGCCCAAGCAGGTCATCTGGTCAATGCCGTATGGTTGGTCCGCATGAGAGTGTATGAGTGTGTGAGTGTTTGTGATTGAATGCAGGGTGAGGTTAGAGCCAAGAAAACCACGTTGTTTACACTATTTACAACCAAATGTTGGCATGTTTATTGTTCTTGGAACCGTACTGTATTGTGTAAGTGTATTGAACTGGTATTGTTTGTGGCTTTGTTCGGAATCTTAAACCTAATCGATATAGTCTACAATTAAATCAGCTTGAGCGTGGGCCCTCCCGTAGGCGCCCACGATGGCAACCGACTGTGGTCGGAAGAGGATTTTCGTTGAACTACCATGTTTGAGGATGGCATGGGACACTGGAGTTGAGATCGCAGTACCACCATTTCCGGAAATGGCTTTGGAACTCGGTTCCAGAATGAGCGATGCTTCACCTTCACTGTTTGTCATTGGGAGTCCGAAGAAAGGATAGTTAGCGACGCCAGTTGAGACGACCGGAACATGTAGAATCGGTTGATCTGCAGCCGTCTTGCTCGTTGCCGTTACTACAACCTGCTGGTCGGGAGTTGAGGCCCGGATCTTCGCTGCAACTGGTTGGACCTTTGGCACCATCTTCTGTAGCGCAGACTTTGCCGGAGGAGGTTGAACCTTCAGTACGGTTTTAGCTGGAGCAGGTTGGATCTTCAGGATGGTAAATGGCTTGCCATTGGCAGGTACTGGCTTTCTAAGCTTAGCTTGTCCCAATTCTAGCTTCTGAATTTTGAACTTGTCATTCGATTGCTGAATGGCTTGGATGAACGGAGCATTCATGATTCTTTTGGGCTGTTTTACTGCCTGGCCGGGTTCAATCCGTCCATCTGTCAGCTTGATCGGCCCCGTAACTGTGACCTGCATCGGTATCGGTCCTGAATTCATCCTCTTCGGAATTCTACTGAAGGGATGCGGAGCGAAGGCTTCGGCAGGGATAAACTGGACTGTTCCATCTCCGAAAAATTCAGCTGCTCCAGCTCCAGATCCTCCGTACGGAACCAAAGGTCCAGGTTGTGGGTAGTTAAAATTCATATTGGAACTCGGTGCGTACAGGTAAGGTGAAAGGAACTGTGGCTGTGGCTGGAAGGGGAAAAAGCTTTGCAAGGGAGGAGAAGGGAAGAAAAGAATATCGAATTACTGTGCTGATCAGTGGGACACTTTGGGTTAGAGTTACCGAAACCAGACTCCAACTAGACTGCTTGCTGTTACATACGGAGGTTTAGGATCTACACCCGCTCTCCCAGTCGACTGTTGATTAGTTCCACTTGTTGATGAGTGCTAGTTACCAAGTCCTTACAAACCCTTACAGTACGGCATGCAATAGTCTACGCTACAAATGAAACTACGGCACTTCCGTTTTGGATGTTATTCAGCTTTATTCTCTATCAACTTAAGTCCTACAATACATTAGTGAAATCATATAAATCGCGAAATCGTTACTTGCTGGAAGCCCGTAGTCAGGAACAATCGCTGTTGTAAACTCATCACAGGTGTGCAACTTCCTCAACTCGGATTCTCGTTTCCCAGTTGTTTTTAAAAACCATCCTCCCCCAATAATGGCAAGTCTTGTCTACGGAAATTTGTACAAAATATATTTACACAGAATGGCCACTGAATGATTGCCCTCCTTTCGGACCTAATCCCGATAGTAGACAACCGGACCGCTAGCGACCAGTACCGCATCTACTGGTAAGCTCCGCTTCGTAGCATTGATTGTCGACCCCAGGTCGACACTCTCCGGAACGGCGTAGATCTTCGCTCCCGGGCCAGCTATCGTCAAACTCCTCGGGTGAGTAATGGCCGTTCCGTTTGGCCCCACAATGGCAGTGCCACCACTACCAGCCGTAGCAACTCCACCGGGTCCAGCAATGGCAATGCCTCCCTGTCGAACTCTCAACCGCTGAATTACCAGCCCGCCGCTCGATGGTTCCGTCTGCCTGTTAAACAACCCCCCGAATGGCCCCTTTCCATCTGCAACCACCTCTCCATCCAAAACATCCGGTATCTCCTTCAAATCCTTGATTTCCGACGCTAGATACGTTCGGGGCGAAGTCGCTGGCTGAATGTTGAATCGGTTCGTGAAGTTCTGGAACGTAGCCGTCAGATTGAAACTACGACTCTTTCCCCTAGCCGATTTGTTCAAAATCAACATTTCCAGATCCGGCTCCGAATCATCATCCTTCTCATCGCTCTCCGCGGCCGACAGCTTGCTGTTCAGAAACTTATCATTCGGTAGCTGAGGCATTGCTGTAGAGTCCTGCTTCTGCTGCTTGTCTTCATCGTCATCGCCATAATCGACTGCTTCCAGCATCTCTTCCAGCAGTTCTTCGTCGATCTTATCATCCTCCACTGCACTGGCTACATCGTCTACGACGCCCCTTCCCTTCTTCGTCTGCTTCGGGTCCTGCCATCCCAACCCACCATCCAGTGACCGTCCCTTACCCTGGAAACCCCTCAGCGAACCGAAATCGATCGTACTAGGCACGTACCGGATTTCCGTTCCCTTCCCATTGGCGGCGGGCACAGCGATCGGCAAAACATAGATTCTCGGAGACACCAGCGGTAGGTTCCGGTTTTTCTTCATCTGAAACGACCGCGGGTCGTCCGGCAGCGGAAGGTGCATGTATGGCGCTGGATAGTAGTAGACTTGGGCCCGGAAGGGGTCCACCGTTGAGACAACCTGCTGCGCGTTAAATTGCTTGAACATGGCCGTCGGGCTAGCGGTGGTGCGGAAATTAAGCGGCTGATAGACCGGTCGGGGATAGAAGTAGCCCTCGTTGAAGTTGGAGGTCCGCGGGAAGGCCACCTCCTGTTTCTTCTTGTAACCGAAGGCGATATTGATGCGGTCGATTTCCTGCAGAATTCGTTGCGTTTCCTCAATGGATCCACGTTGTTCGATCAGTGGTTCCAGGGTACGCTGCTGCGGCAGCATTCGCATCAACTGCTGCTCGATCCTAGAACGAGGGAGGGGAGGTGAAAGAAGCAGATGTTAGCAGGTGGGTGGCTGTGATTGTCGGTAGGGGGTTTGAAGTCAAAGAAGGTTTTGTTTGGAACTGTAGTACACTGGTGATGATGGTTGATCAGGGCGAAATCGGTTGATTTGACAGTGATTTGATTGGTTAATATCAATGTTTTTTTTCGGATTCCACGAAGTCAAACTTTCTAATACAACCTTTGATGAGTGGTCTGCTATGTTCATGAAAGAGTTCTGAGGTCACAAGTATTTAGTTTTAGCAAGTTAGGTAGAACGCGAATACTGGTTGCTCCAGAATAGTAGTTTTGCAGTCTTAATTTTCAAAATTTACTACTTTTTCTTAATCAATCCATTATTAAATTTATAAAATAAGTTATGAAATAAAATAAATAAATTAATTATGAAGAAATAGTAAACTAGTTCAACGGCAAAGCACGTTAACATTCCGACTACGGTGGGTAAATAAACATTGGGAAGCCTCGGAAAAACATTGTAACGGCAAGTTTGCATTGACATTGATTAATTTCAAAATCTGTGGTATCTCTAGAATTTCTAGAGTCTGTACATTATTTTGATTGTAATATTGAAAATAGAGTCGCCTACTTTTTTAAAAGCAAAAAGAGTCGTTACACGTTTTTTCAAAGGTGTGTTTATGGATTCTGCAAGTGGTTTAAGATCTATAATTTAGATTAATGGACATTACTGCTCATAATTAGCCAAACATGGTCGTGATTACCTCTCAATCCCAGAGGGCGCCGCTGGGATGTTCTGAGGCATACAATCTCTGATCACGCCTTCCTTCAGAAGGGAAGTAAAGCCGTTGGTCCCTGGTTCATGAGTTGATGAGTCGATAGGTAGGGTCCAGGTGTGGGAGCTGCCTTCCTGGCATCGGTAGCATTGGTGCTCAGCACGGAAAACAAGATCGACGGAAAACAAATCAAGGAAAAAAAACCAGAAAACTAAAAAGGGGAGGAGCTTTAGCTGGGTGTCCACTGATATTCTACCGGCTGTTTTTTTTTTTTCTTTTTCTATACAACGCACAATTTAGTGTAGAAAGGCACAGTAAATGAAGTGTATGATAAAATACCCAAAATGGGTGAGGCATAATTTTCTAGCTTTCGAAAAGTGATTATTTTTCATGCCCTATTGACAAGAGACAAAACCGTTAAAAGAGAAGGAACTCCAGCCTGATATGCCCTTTATTGTTACTTTCGTCCATACAGTAGCTGACCGAAGCTCCTTCCATTGGGTGGTGTCGTCGAAATTTTGAAGACGATAACTATGACTCACCGTCCGAAAGGAAGTCGTTTTCCTTTCAATTCAAGTTCCTGCATTTCCAGGCATCAAATTGCCGCTCTTATCGAGTATTTTGTGGACAACCGCCTACCATTTCTGGTTCATGCAAATTGCTGCTCTAATAAAGGCTTTTGCGTACGACCAGAAGCAGAAGGCCAGCCGATCTCGTCAGAGAAAGCAGAGAAACAGCAAACTATTCATTGACCGGAAAATGCTCACCTATCACATCTGAACCGGTTGAATCGCTG